CGGATAAAAAAATATTAAGCACTGGCTAAAGAGTAAATATATTTTAAACAGTGGCTAAAGAATAAAGACATCTCTAATTAGTGGCTAACTGTGCACTTCCACGCAATTAAACAAATAACTGCAGCTGGGCTAGGAAAGTCCATCTAAGGAAGCTAGGCTAGAATCCAGATGGCTAAATCCAGCCCATTTAACTCCGATAGACAATTATATAAATCCATATTTTACTAGGGTTTTACACTTTGAGCGAGGCCCCGTAGTTCCCCAGTAGCCGTCTATTGCAGGTTCTTCTCCCTCTCCAACTTCCTAGTCTCTAACTTCTACCGATGCATTGTCATTTCCTGATATCTTAGTTTACTCATTCCATCACTGTCACTGTTACAACTATGTAAATCTTAAAATAAGTGTTATGTAGTACCAATCACTTATAGAACCAAATGCAATTTAACTACAGATATTTTAATCTGAAACTACTTTTCTAAAATTTCATCGATGCATTCGTGTTCTTTTCAGAATAAGTTGTTATACTCCTATCTATATGCCATGTAACTACGGATTGTTATGTACATTTTTTAGCTTTCCGAGTGTTTATTGTGTATGTGCGTGTGGGTTTTTTCCTTGGGGCCGTCTGTGCTTATAGAAGAATGTGACTAGTTCATTAGTTTAAGCTGATTAATGTTTTCATTGGTTACAGATAGGAGGAGGAGAAAATGTCTCACAGGAAGTTTGAGCATCCAAGACACGGTTCTTTGGGATTTCTGCCCAGGAAGCGTGCTGCCAGACACAGGGGAAAGGGTATTATTACATTCTTTCTCTTATTACAACAAGCATTCTTTTTAATAGTTCTGAATTAATGTCTATTGTGTAATGGCATTTTGATCACTGACTATAAGTTTAGTTATGTTTAGCTATGTAAATATTGCAATAAACAAAATCCTCTGGTTATTGCTGGATTAACTTTGCTCCTGTTAATCATTCATCGATAAAAACATGCCATCCATAATAAAATGTATTTATGCAGCCATATGGTAAGATAGCTTCTAAAGTATATTCCTCAATAAAATCATTTTCCATTATTTGGTTATCTTGAACCGTTGAAAACATTTTCCTTGCTGAACATAAAGAAAACAGTTTACTCTTGATGTATTGATGAGCATCCATCACTATGAATATGTGAAACTGTTCTAAACCTTTAATGCTCACAACATATCACCAAAGCACCACTTTAGTGTGCTATCCCATCTCAAGAGGTATTCATATTTATGCCATGTAAACAGTTTCCACCTGAAGAATATGTTTTACATGGAAATACATTATTTTGTTTGGAAAGCATTTTACATCATACCTAAACACACTCATAATTATGTGAGAGATGTTCATTTTAATCGTTTTTAAACTATTGCAGTGAAGGCATTCCCAAAGGATGATCCAAACAAGCCCTGCAAGCTAACTGCCTTCTTGGGCTACAAAGCTGGCATGACTCACATTGTCAGAGATGTTGAAAAACCTGGATCAAGTAAGCTATCTTTTCTTCATGTATTTTATTTCAGTTGTGATTTAGTCCATATCTTTCTCGGCTCTTCATTAGTATCTTTGGTTTGAAAATTGGCAATAAACTAGATTTGTAAGGAAGCAGTATTATTGATACTTCACTTTAAATCTTTTATACTATTAAATTTTCACATTCATCTGGTGATTACAGAACTCCACAAGAAAGAGACATGTGAAGCTGTCACCATCATTGAAACACCTCCAATGGTGATTGTTGGTGTTGTTGGGTATGTGAAGACACCTCGTGGTCTTCGTTGCCTGAACACTGTCTGGGCTCAACATCTCAGTGAAGAGCTTAAGAGGAGGTTCTACAAGAACTGGTGCAAGTCCAAGAAGAAGGCCTTCTTGAAATACTCCAAGAAATATGAATCTGATGAAGGGAAAAAGGACATCCAGACACAGCTGGAGAAATTGAAGAAGTATGCATGCGTCATCCGTGTTTTGGCTCACACTCAGGTAATCTTAGTCCAATATCATCTTCAACAACAGCTATTCCTTTTAGTGTGCCTAGAAACTCCTGTCTTTCGATGTGCCCAAGAACTGTGTTGTGAAAATACCTGTATTCTAGATAGATTTTGATTTTCAAATCGTGTACATCTCATATAAGTATTAGATAAGAGGTAGTGTCAGACTTACAATGCCATCCCTATTTTGGTTCAGCAGATAATATGGTTTCTCTCCACCGGTTATGTTTGAAGTCATTTTGGTTTAGACCTCATTCCAAATCTTTTTTAATGTTTTTGAATATTTTTCAGTGTCTTAGATATGTATACAAATAAGATAAGCTTACCTAGACTCTATATAATGGGATTGCCTTTTTAAAAAAAACGGCAGATAAGGAAGATGAAGGGTCTGAAACAGAAGAAAGCCCATTTGATGGAGATACAGGTGAATGGTGGGACAATTGCTCAGAAGGTTGACTTTGCATATGGTTTCTTCGAGAAGCAGGTTCCAGTTGATGCTGTTTTTCAGAAGGATGAGATGATTGACATCATTGGTGTCACCAAGGGTAAGGGTTATGAAGGTGTTGTAACTCGTTGGGGTGTGACACGTCTTCCTCGCAAAACCCACAGGGGTCTGCGTAAGGTTGCTTGTATTGGTGCCTGGCACCCTGCTAGAGTTTCCTACACAGTTGCCCGTGCTGGTCAAAATGGATACCATCACCGTACCGAGATGAACAAGAAGGTTTACAAACTAGGGAAGGCTGGCCAAGAGTCCCATGCTGCTGTAACTGATTTTGACAGGTATGCAACGTTGCCTTTTTTTTCTTTCTAAAGCTTGTCCTTTCCTACAAGGGGATGCTCTATATTCTACTTATGTGAACTAGTGCTTTTGCGTGAGCAATTGCACATTTACGATTGCTCAAAAACCAGTCAAGCTGTTGCCTTATGCTGAAAATGTCTTACATTCTGCATGTGGCCCGTGGTTGTGTGCTTTTTACCATATACTGTACCTTCGATTATACCGGTTCTCTTTTTCTGAGCTGTGATTACTTTTCATTAATGTTAACAGGACCGAGAAAGACATTACTCCCATGGGTGGATTTCCCCATTATGGTGTGGTGAAGGATGATTACCTGTTGATCAAGGGATGCTGTGTTGGTCCTAAGAAGAGGGTTGTAACCCTTCGTCAGTCCCTGCTCAACCAGACCTCTCGTGTCGCTCTTGAGGAGATTAAGCTGAAGTTCATCGATACATCCTCAAAGTTTGGACATGGTCGCTTCCAGACCACTCAAGAGAAGCAGAAATTCTATGGCCGGTTGAAGGCTTAAGTGTTTCAGTATTCAGCTCATTGGGTGGAACACAAGTTTTAAACAAGTTATTATTGCTGTTACTCTTTATTTTCATCGGTTGGTTTGGAAGACAATTTTGACATTTTAAAGCTCTGTCGCATTGAGGATTCTAGTTGAGAATATTAGTAATGCAAAAGTTTTGTTGTTGTGGTTCAAAGGCATGATCACTACGTGAGAGTTGAGACCTTTATGTGTTTGATTCTAAGCCATTAGTGCGTGTTGCTAGAATAGCCATGCATATTAAGATTTGATTTTTGTGCCTGCCATTTTTATCAAGCTTGCCTCTCTTGTTAATTTGGATGGAGGATCAGTCACCATTCTGATATAGAGGGGCATAAATTAAGAGAGCTCTCCACGAGTGTCTCATGATTCATTTCGAGGGTAAGAAATGCTATCACCTCCGTTCCTTGCCCATGATAGTTTCACACAGTTCTATCAGTTCTTATATTTCATCTCATTCTAGTATTAATTTATATAAAACTACTTTAGGTTAGGGGAATAGGACAAGGAAAATAACAGGTTCCACAAATCAAATTTCAATATCTGATTTAGACATCCTTTTTGTAATATTTCGATGATTTACCACCCGTTTATGCCAATCTCATGGCCTTTGTTGTTCCTCTTCTACGTTATTGTTATTTAGTTTGATTTATTATTTTATTTTAAACATTTTTCATTTCTTAGTGGAGAGACCAATTTTAAATTTTATTTAAAAAAGATACAGGAAAAAACTTTTTCCTTTGGGGTTAAAACCAGCTACTGTCATGTGAAGGGTAAAAAGTTCGTTTCTGAAAGCATGCTTTGCTTCGACTAAGCTTTGGAAGCCATGGAAGGCAGAGTTGAGGACGACATCTGAGAATTGGATTAAAAACTTAATCTTTTGCCTCAGGCTATGAATCATCTCTACATTTTTACGAGATATATTGAGGTCTAATATTTTACGAGATAAAGTTAAAAGTCACACAAATTAGACCTTAATTTAAGTTTGAAGAGATCTTTATAAAGTGTATTATCGTTGTATTGTTTTCTCAGCTACTTAGTTCATTTGCCTATTTGGTGAAGCTAATTTTTGTTCCAGTGGAAGCTAAAAAAAATAAAAATCTTCTACCTTTGGATGGCATAACTGAAGAATGAGCCTCGTCAAGCAGAACATCTTGTAGTTCTCGATTTATTGTTACTATTAATGAATAAGAAATAATACGATGTGGTTTACCTTTAATTTCAGAGAAAATGTCGGTTTACCTAAGCATAGTACGTTGCATACTAATAAGACACTAATTTTGAGCAAGTAAATTAAGATGATTTAATTGTGTTCGTAAATTAATAGTTAGGAATTAGACTTCTTAGCACTTAAATCATTTTTTGTTTGACATTATGAATCTGATGACTACTTAGTTTTTTTTCCTTCTTTCCCTTAATCCTTCGACACTGTAAAGATTAATTCAGTTATAGCTTATATTAGAGAAGTTATTCGACAGGATATTTCACTCAGGAGGGTAAAGCTGCAAGAAAAGAAATAGATACAACAATGAAAAGGACGCACATCTCCGATAAATAAGATTCGAGAATCCAGAATTCATTTGATAAAGTCACAGAATCAGATTCTCTCTTTAGAGTCGAAAGTTAGTGAAAAAGAATTAATTTATCCAATAAATAAAATATAATACTAGTAAATGACAATGAGTCGTGGCATAACAATGTATTAAAAATACAACAGTCCAAAACTTTACAACGCAGAACAAAAATTTCTCCAGAAAAAAGAAGAAAAGAAAATCCAGTTAATAAATAAATGTCCTTTTCACTACAATTAGTTGGCTCAAGAATCTTGCTTTTAGTATTTCTTTTACTTCTTTTGAATTTGCTTTTTTCTTTTTCTTATACCAAGTCCAACAATATAGATGTGCATTAAACTTCTGGATTAATTAAGAGTTACAGTGTCATACGCTTAGACCGTCGAATCCACATTGCTTGTATGTGAGAGCCTGTTTCCTAGGGCTGATCACTATTGCGCAATCCACTGATACCTGTTCAACACAATTCATCATGTACATTTCTAAACACATGTTTCTGCAAGGATAACAAAACACTCATCTTTGCAGGAAAACAATCAAATCAAAGGATTAAAGGAATGAGGAATACATAAAGGGGATTCAAAGAAAATGCAAGAATGTCACACTTAAGATCTGAAATTGTGCTCCAACACACTTATTGAACTCCCTTGGACTACTATACTAGAATTTCTCTTATGTCAAGGAGAGATTCAACGACTTATATGCCACAAAAATAAATCGCTTTCATCCTATTTGTGACATGATTTTTCGGTGAAGGGAATTCAAGAATTGAACCCTTACCAACATCTAGCTTCGTCCTAGCTTCCGCCTATGGTGCAAGTTGTATTGTTGTAGCAAAGGAGGAGCATGACTTATGTGTAGTGTACTTAGACCCACTCGGGAATATCCAGGACTTTTTTCAAGTCAGTAAATGCTGAATACTAGTATACTACTACACTTGCTATGGATTGGGTATAAACATAAATTTTTACCCAAGCCACTACGATTATGCATATCTGATGAGAATAGTTGCTTAGAGTAAAGCTGTTTTTTAAAAGGCGGGGGAGTTAGACTGCTGAAGATGGTAAAAAGTGGCTGGAATGTCAGGGGAATGCCCCCTCCACCACAGATTGCGTTAGGGATCCAGGACTAATAGGCTTAAAGCATCAAGAGATAAACTAGCTCAAGAATTAAGATATCCAACCACATGAGAGAACATGGAACTAATCACTAGTCACAACTCTTTGGAGAGAGTTCCTAAAATTGTGAATCTTGGCCTTCTTTACCTATGAAGAGTAGTGTATTCGCTAGGAAACTAGCACTCAGAGACGGAGCTACATTGTATTGAAGGAGGGTTCAATTGAACTCCCCTCCTCAGAAAATTATATCGACAAATATAGTAAAAACAATTTAGTATATACACAAAAATTGTTGAATCCTCTTTGATATAAGAGAAACTTCTAATGTAATGACAAAGGTGACTTAAAACTTACTTTAGGTTGCAAGTTCAAATCTCAAATATTGCATTCTTTCAATTTTTAAATTCTGCTTTTAAAATTCATAACTCCACCACTACTTGCACTGGTGGTGTCAAGAACATGGCTGGTCTAAAATTTGAATGGTGTCAAGAAATGTCAGTATACAAAGAAAATCAACATAAGAGAGAAGAGCAAGATCCAGTCAAGACAGGATCCGTACCACACTCTAATACTAGGTGGACAAATTGTACTGCCCACTATAATGGTCTACTACCACAGACCAGCTCATATTGTGGGTTCTACATTCCAAAAAACTACGGCAAACACCCAAATCAATGTAGAATATCGTACTCACCTCGTCCCAACTTATACAATACTCTTTTTTAAGGAAACAAATGTTAAAATGTTGATTTATTTTTGCATTAGCGACAAAATATCAAACAAATAATAGTAGAATAATTAGTTCAAGAGACAAAGCAAAATTTAAAATTAATCTTGAATTCTAATCTTATTGGCGAAATAGTCTTGACAAAGAAAAAATGCATTACTGGTATAAATTAGTATGTGAGAAAATGGAGAAACTTAAGACATAAAATGGCAGTTTTGTTGCCAATAATGACCTACTAATATACTTGGATATGACAGGTTAAATGGGTCCCACTACATATTTGTTTGTATTACTACCTATAGAGAGCTTAGACAAAAATATTCCACCGCTAATCATTTATCTCAACCCCAAATAAAAATAAACATAGAGTTCCAACTTTCATTTTTCCCCCTTTATGTACAATGTTTTTTAGTGATGTCCATTCATGTTAGATATCTACAATTATCCTACTCTTACACCAAATCCAAAGTGCACTTAAGTCCAATACATATCTCAAAGCAAACAAGGGCAGTATTTCCATTAATAACAACACTTTTGAGAGTAAATATTAAGCAAAAAGAGCATTTTAGCAAAATCCTATCAAATACTAACCTGCACACCGGGTGAAGTTAGCCCAAGGATTCGAATCTTAGCTCCGACATCACCCAATACCCGTAACTCGACCCGGTCATTCAACGCCGCGTCACGAATCAAATCCGCGGCGTCAGCTTGGAGCAAGTTAACCCGATCCACAACAATGGTAGTTTCGACCCGCTTAACACTATGTGCTGGTTGGTAAAACCCAGGTACGGTGCCCCGACCGAGAGGAATCCCACGGTACATGATAGTGAACCGCGACTGACCGTACTTGATCCCCACCTTGTTGTCATTGAAAGCAGTGAAAACCATGCGAATATTGAGCGAAACAGAGGCAGATGACGTGGCTATCGCAGCTGGGTTGGGAGTAATTCCAACGTACTGAACGCCAACTTGTTGAAGATCGAACTGGGGTTTTTTGGGCTTAACGGCGAGTACTATTACAAGTATGATAGCGAGAATGAGGAGAAGTAAGAATGAAAAAAGGAGGAAAAGACAACAACAACAGCCTTTAATAGAAGCTTTAGAGGAAGAAGAATGAGACGGGTAATAGTGAGGGTGGTGGTGGTGGTTGCCATTGATATTATTTTGGGTAAGTGTAGAGGTCATTTTTTGTGTTAAGAAAGATGAAGATGGAGAAGAATAGTTGGGAAAAAGGAAGACCCACCAATCTCTTCCTCTCTCTTGCTTTTTCTGTACTCCTTTTTCGACTTTGCTTTGCTTTTGGAGATGGAGGGAGGGAGGGAGAGGACAACGGTGTGTGAGAAAGAGTACTCTCTATGTGTGTGTTTGCTTGGAATTTAAAAAAGGTGGCATCAAAGTGGGGTAATTTTTTGACTTGGCATTCTTGCCATTATTGTTTTTGGTTCCTCTTTCCTTTTCCTACCCGACCAAAAGCGAGACTACGTACCAATAATATTTTTCTGAGCACTCTAGACTATCTATTTTATTACCCTAATTCTCGACATTGATAGGAAGGTATAGAGGTCGAGGATTAGGGTAGTAAAGTAAGTAGTCTAGAGTGTTCATAACAGTAGTATTGACACGTAATCTCACTTTCTGTTGGTAGTAAGTTTTTATGACTAACCGTTGTTTTCTTTCATTGTTAAACACCTTACTGTCTTATTTTTATTCTGCTTTTATATGGTTTTTGGTACTATCTCTTCTTGTCTATATTTTTATTAATGTGGTGCTTATGTTTTACTCAACCGATGGTCTATTGGAAACAACCTCTTTATCCTCACAAGATAGGGGTAAGGTATGCGTATACACTACCCTCCCCAGACCCCACAGTGTGGGATAATACTGAATATATTGTTATTTCTTTTTCCTCTTTCTTAACTTTCAACTGAATTTTCTTTAGAAGAATTGACCGTACAATATTTCACCCTTACAATATTTCACCTTAGTGTATGATTTTCAACATATTATTAAGAGTAACATAGAAATATTTTAAATTAAAGAGTAAGTATATATGTATACGGGTAAAACCGAGGCTAATGAGTACTCCGATTTTTTGGAGGGGCAAAAAAAGCAAGGACGTAACTACAAGGAATCGGAATCGAAGCTAGGAGCCTCTCGTATCAAGGCCCGAAAAAACACCTGCCTTCAGAGCCATCGAGATCGCGACCCCCGGATCCGGTTCGAGTTTCAAGACCTCGGAAAATATTACCAAACGTCCGCGCACTATTAACAAAGGGCCGTGATATTCGTGCCCAACCGGATATCACGACGTGGATCTCAGCCCGTTTCTGTAGCAGATCAATGATAAGCGAAGAGGAAGATGTTTACCTTTCTTAGAATTCTACTTAGGGTAAAACTCCCCTACTATATAAAGGAAAAGTTTATTATTCAACGAGGACATTGTAACACTCGTATCAAGGCAATATAAACTTGTTTTGTCTATTTCTAAGCTATTCAAAGGCTCTTATTCTTGTTCAAAACTATTCATATATATCTTGGCTACGAATCAAAGGCAGATTAATTGTTAAGCCCACAACCGAACCCAGATTCAATACTACTACTGGTTTGGCTATTTATTCTATTTTTCATTTGCTTATCTAACATTATTAATTACTTTTATCGGATTAACCCACATATCCTTAAAATCGTGTATAAATTCAATTGTTATCCATTTTAAGGGTAAACAGTTTGACGGCTAAGGATAATAGTGGTGATTTGATACAATTTTTTATAATACACTCTATTTTACGCTTGTTCTTTGAGATTTTAATTTCAGGTCAACCTAAAAATGTCAAACTCTCAGCCTGCTCACTTGAACGTTGATGTTGAATCTGACCATCACAACGAAAATAACAATATAGTGCCTAGCAACCAGGTGCCCTCTGTTGATCCCAATGGAGTCCCGGTTGCATACCCAGTCGACGCAACTCACATGTGGTCATCGACGCCAACCTGTCGACCGACCCTGAGAACAACGTTCGTGGAGGAACTCGTCCAACGACCCAGGTACGCCCGAAGGTAAAGGCGACAGGATTAATGTGTGGGTGATCATCGAGATGTTACAGGCCTAACAGGCGGCGATAGCACAACTGCAGAATCAAAGTCGTGCCCCCAACAGAGTTGAGCCTTAACCATCCACGAAAAACACCCGAAGAAATTAGCAAGCCACAAAAAGGCCGGGTGAAGCTGACCCCAGGACAAACCCCGAAATAATAAAAATACTTGAGTAACTAACAAAGCAGGTGGAATCGGGGGAGAAGAAAATTGAGGCCAACGACAAAAAAGTGGAGATCTAAAACTCCAGAGTTGATCAAATCCCAAGAGCGCCCCCAATATTGGCCTGGACTCCAAGAATTTTGTCCAAAAGTCTTTCCCTTCGAGCGCGACACCGAAGCCAATCCCGAAGAAGTTCTGTATGCCCGATATTCCGAAGTATAGTGGAACCACGGATCCAAATGAGCACGTGACATCCTACAAGTGTGCCATCAAGGGAAACGACTTAGAAGATGACGAAATCGAGTCGGTTTTGCTGAAAATGTTTGGAGAACCCATGTCAAAATGAGCAATGATATGGTATCACAACTTACCCCCAAAATTTATTGATTCGTTTGCTATGCTTGCATACGCCTTTGTGAAAGCGCATGCCGGGGCCATCAAGGTCGAAACTAGAAAGTCAGATCTTTTCAAGGTAAAACAAAGAGACGACGAGATACTTAGAGAGTTCGTATCGAGGTTCCAAATGAAACGAATGGACTTGCCTCCGGTTGCAGATGATTGGGTCGTTCAGGCATTCACGCAAGGACTTAACCCCCGAAGCTCCTTTGTTTCGCAGCAGCTGAAACAAAACTTGATAGAGTACCCGACGGTGACTTGGGCCGACGTCCATAACAGGTACCAGTCGAAAACCAGAGTCAAGGACGACCAGCTCGGGGCCCCCTCCGGGTCCTTTTATCCTATTAGACCTAATGATAGGTCTAAGAGAGTCGTCGACCATGAACCAAGACCGAACAAAGACCTGTATCAACCGTATAACGAAGATCGAAGGAGCAACGGATCTGGGCGTAATCCTGCAAGAAACGAGAAGAGGAGCGATCGAGGCCACAGTAGTTGGGGACTCGTGAGCAAAAATAGTTTCGATAGGCCACTCGGGGCCAGGAAGGCACCAAGGTTATCAAAATATAACTTCAATGTTGATGCTGCCAGCATCATATCTGCCATCGGGCACATCAAGGATACCAAGTGGCCTCGGCCATTGCATTTCGACCCTACCCAGAGAGACCATATCCTGATGTGTAAGTATCATGGCACTCATGGCCACAGGACCGAGGACTGCCGACAATTAAGAGAAGTAGTGGCCTGGTTATTCAATAACGGGCATCTCCAGGAATTTCTGAGTGATCGAGCCAAAAATCACTTCAGGAACAGGGACTCCAACAAATAGACCAAGCAAGAAGAACCTCAACAAGTCATCAACATGATCATTGGAGGAGTCGATGTCCCTTAGGGACCAATGCGAAAGCGCACTAAGGTGTCCATCACAAGGGAAAAATGAACCCGAGATTATATCTCAGAAGGAACCATTTCGTTCAACGATGAGGACGCCGAAGGCATCGTACAACTGCATAATGATGCACCGGTAATATATGTACTTATAAATAAATCTCGAGTTAAGCTTGTGTTGATTGATCCAGGTAGCTCGGCCAACATCATCAGATCGAGGGTTGTTGAGCAATTGGGTCTACAAGACCAAATAGTGCCAACAGTCCGGGTTTTAAACGGATTCTACGTGGCATGCAAAACTACCAAAGGAGAAATAACCTTGCCAGTAAATACCGCCGGAACAATTCAGGATACCAACTTCTAAATGATCGAGGGGGACATGAGGTATAACGCCTTTTTCGAAGGCCTTGGGTTCACAACATGAGGGCAGTACCCTCGACACCACACCAGGCACTGAAGTTCCCTACATTGAGAGTAATCAAGACGGTTTAAAGAGAGCAATCAGCCGCAAAAAACACAAAGCCGGTTAGGAAGGAAGAAACTAAATAGTAATCATCGATATCGGCCCCGACCGAGCCGTAGAAGCAAGGAGCAGTCGGGGATGATGATTACGGAGTCCCTAGGTCGCTCATCGCCCCTGTTGATTCTGATGCCACCAAGTCAATGATCGAGGAGCTGGAGCAAGTCATATTGATTGAACACTTGCCCGATCGGAAGGTATACCTGGGCACGGGGTTAACTCCTGAGCTCACAAAAAAACTCATTGAATTCCTTAGAGCTAACATAGATTGTTTCGCTTGGTCCTATCTTGATATGACGGGGATCCCGCCAGAGATAACCACTCATAAGCTGAGCTTGGATTCAAAGTTCGACCCGGTTAAACAGAAGAGGAGGCCTCAGTCCGAAGTCAAGCATGCATTCATCAAAGAAGAGGTATCCAAACTCCTTAAAATAGGTTCAAGAAGTTAAGTACCTGGATTGATTAGCTAACATAGTGGTAGTGCCTAAAAAGGAAAATAAATTAAGAATGTCCGTAGATTACAAAGACTTGAACAAGGCGTGGCCTAAGGACTATTTTCCTTTGCCTAACATCGATCGCATGATCGATGTGATGGCCAGGCACGAGATACTCATCTTTCTCGACGCATATTCCGGGTACAACCAAATCCAGATGGACCCGGGCGATCAAGAAAAAAACTTCCTTTATCACTAAATTTGGCACCTATTATTAAAACGTAATGCCGTTCCGAATAAAGAACGTTGATGCCACTTATCAATGCCTAGTAAATCGGATGCCCGAAGAACAAATAGGAAAATCAATGGAAGTTTATATTGACGACATGTTAGTTAAGTCAGTGCGAGCAGAGGACCATTTGAAACATTTCTAGCAAACCTTTGACATATTGAAGAGATACTAGATGAAGTTGGACCCGGAAAAATGCGCATTGGGAGTCGAATCCGAAATATTTCTTGGATTTATGGTGTCCAACTGAGGGATTGAGATCAGTCTCGATAAAATCAAAGCTATAGAAAACATCATCGTGGTGGGCAGTGTCAAGGTCGTTCAGAGGCTAACTAGGCGCATAGCCGCCCTAGGCCAGTTTATATCGAGGTTCTTAGACAAAATCCATCGGTTCTTCTCATTATTGAAGAAGAAGAAGAAGAACTTTTCTTGGACCCCGTAGTGCCAACAAGCATTGGAAGAACTCAAACGGTACCTTTCGAGTCCACCCTTGATCCATACTCCAAAGGCGGTCGAGCAGTTGTACCTTTACTTGGCGGTATCCGAGGTAGCGGTAAGTGGAGTCCTAATCCGGGAAAAGGAAGGTACGCAATTTCATATTCACTATGTTAGTAAAACTCTAGGCGAGGCCGAAACAAGGTATCCTCACCTGAAAAAATTGATGCTCGCTTTGTTAAGCTTCTCCAGAAAGTTAAAACCGTATTTTCAATCCCACCTCGTATGTGTCGTAACCTCTTACCCACTAAGGAACATTATGCTCAAACCCGAGCTCTCGGGCCGATTGACCAAATGGGTCGTAGAAATTTGCGGGTATGATATCGAATATCGACCTCGAACTGCCATCAAATCACAAATTTTGGCAGACTTCGTGACTGAATTCATGCCGACCTTAATACCCGACGTCGAAAAGGAGTTATTGTTAACCTCGGGGACTTCCTCGGGAATCTAGAACCTCTTTACGGACGGTTTCTCGAACGCAAAGGGGTTCGGACTCGACATCGTATTGAAGCCGCCTACGGGTAACGTAGTTAGGCAGTCTATTAGAACTGTGAAATTGACTAACAATGAGGCCGAGTATGAGGCTATGATTGCAGATCTCAAATTGGCTAAAAGCCTTGGGGCTGAGGTGGTCGAAGCTAAGTGTGATTCCCTCCTCTTGGTAAATTGTAATGACCCAAAATGCCATCTTTAAATTTAATAATTAATTATGTGTTCTAAGACCTCAAAAAATACTATTTATCATTCCTCGACTTGCGTGCATAGTCCGTAAAATTTTCCGAAAAATTTTTATGTGAAAAAAATGGATCAAAATGTGAATTAGAGCTTTAAAACTCAACTGAGTTGACCTTGGTCAACATTTTGAGCAAATGAACTCGGATCAGTGTTTTGACAGTTTCGGTAGGTCCGTATCGTGATTTGGAATTTGGGCGTATGCCCGGAATCAAATTCCGAGGTCCCTAGCCCGAGATATGGAATTTTGATGAAAAATTAAAAGTTTAAATTCAAATAGTGATCGGATGTCGAATTGTGTGCAAACGGACCCAGAGTAGAATTTTGATGATTCCAACGACTCCGTATGGTGATTTTGAACTTAGGAGCATGATCGGAGTTTTATTTGAAAGTCCGTAGTGAAATTAGGTTTGAAATGGCAAAACAATAGGAATTTCAAATTTGAAAGTTTGACCGGGGAGTTGACTTTTTGATATCGAGGTCGGAATCCAGTTCCAAAAATTTTCATAGCTCTGTTATATCATTTATGACTTGTGTGCAAAATTTGAGGTCAATCGGACTTGATTTGATAGGTTTCGACACCGAATGTAGAAGTTGGAAATTCTTAAGTTTCATTAAGCTTGAATTGGGGTGTGATTTGTGATTTTAGCGTTGTTTGATGTGATTTGAGGTTTTGAAATAAGTTCGTATGATGTTTTAGGACTTGTTGGTGTATTGGGTTGAGGTCCCGAGGGTCTCGGGTGAGTTTCAGATGGTTAACGGATTAAAAGTGGGACTTAACTGCTGCAATTTTTCTGCTGGAAATGCTATCAAAATCGGGCTCCCTAACAGATCTCTAAGTTATAAAAATAGGGGACTTCGTCCCATTTGCCATTTTTGACAAATTGGAGCTTAAGCAGAGGCGATTTTGATATATTTTCAAGGAAAAACATTGGGGTAAATGATTATAACTCGGATTTGGTCAATATACACGAATATGTCATTGTTTTCACCATTTAAATAGTGTTTTGAGATAGAAATTTGGAAAAATTTTAGAAATCTCATAGAAATGAATTTTTGAGATTTCGGTGTCGATCCGAAGTCGAATTTGAGTGAAACTGGTATGGTTGGACTCGTAATTCAATGGGTTGTCGGATTTTGTAAGTTTCGCCAGATTCCGAGACGTGGGCCTCGCGGATAATTTTTGAGCTAATTTCGGATTTTATTGAAAAATGTAATATTTTCTTATGAAATTGATCCCTATAATTTTTGTTGACTGTATCGAATTAATTATGACTAGATACGAGTCGATCAGAGTCAGAAAATAGAGGAAAAAGTATATTACTTGGTTAAATTGGAGCAAGTCGAGGTAAGTGACTTGTCTAACCTTGTGTAGGAAAATTTTCTCTAGGATTGGTATTGATGTGATTATTGAAATGTGTTGAAAGTCGTGTACACGAGGTGACGAGTGTGTACACAGGCTAAATGTGAAAGATTATATTTTAAAATTGTGTAGATTACCGTTGCACATTTATTAAATTATTTTATCTTGTTATATTCTTCATCATTGATCTGAGATATATACTTTAAATTTGCTTGACTTTTTTCTGCTAATTATTTTACCTGTTTAATTAAAATTTAGTTTCTTTTATTATATGAAGGTTGATTATCTTTAAATTAAATATTACTAATATGAAGTATTTGATATTTTTAAACTTGATATTGAAGCAACGTATTAAAGATTTTGAAATATTATTTTCCTGAATTATTTTTTCCTGAATATTTTTGTAAGATTTTCATACTCATTTTGATGGATCCGTGAGCTCTTTATTGTGAAAAAATATTATTGATGATTTATTTTGGCATGAGCCGTGAGCTCTTTATTGTGAAAAAATATTGTTGCTCAATTACTTTGGCAAGTTAAATTATTTGAGTACTTGAGGTGCAGATTGTGATATATTGTGATATTGATACGCATGCGGTGGTATAAGGTCTGAGTATTGAAACGCATGCGGTGAGATAAGGGTGGCTTGATACGCGTGGCTAGTAGGGGGAACAACTAGAAGTCATGTGGTGTGATAAGGATAGCTAAAACGCGGGATGCTATTTCGGAAAAAATATTTTCTTTCAAATAAATTGTGAAGGCTCCCGCGGTGAGATAAGGAAATGAGATATTGTATATTTATTTATGATTTGGGACTACGAGGCGGTACCTCGGGAGTGCCCTTGTTGATATTGATTTATGGCCGCAGTTGCCTTTGATTATTGTTGTGATTTCCTTAAAGTTGAAAAGAATTCTGTTTTGTTTTCCGCGAGGTATTAATTGCCATTATTTGGTGTAATTAAATAGTGACACACTACTTGATTCATTTTTATTGTCATTTTATCTATTATATTGTTAAATATTTTACCATGCCATTATTTATTTTCCATTAGGGCCCGACCTGACCTCATCACTACTCTACCGAGGTTAGGCTTGGCACTTACTG